TTAGACTGTATACGTGTGTATTAACAAGGTTAGACTGTATACGTGTGTATTAACATGGTTAGACTGTATATGTGTGTATAAACAAGGTTAGACTTTATACGTGTGTATTAACAAGGTTAGACTGTATATGTGTGTATTAACATGGTTAAACTATATACGTGTGTATTAACAAGGTTAGACTGTATATGTGTGTATTGACAAGGTTAGACTGTATATGTGTGTATTGACAAGGTTAGACTGTATATGTGTGTATAAACAAAGTTAGACTGTATATGTGTGTATTAACAAGGTTAGACTGTATACGTGTGTATAAACAAAGTTAGACTGTATATGTGTGTATTGACAAGGTTAGACTGTATATGTGTGTATTAACATGGTTAAACTATATACGTGTGTATTAACAAGGTTAGACTGTATACGTGTGTATCAACAAGGTTAGACTGTATACGTGTGTACTAACATAGTTAGACTATATACATGTGTATTAACAAGGTTAGACTGTATACGTGTGTATTAACATGTAGAAGGTTAGACTGTTTATGTGTGTATTAACAAGGTTAGTCTGTAAACATGTGTATTAACAAGGTTAGACTGTATACGTGTTCCGAAAACCTATAGTTATAATTTAATGGCATGCATTGATATGCAATTTCAAAACAAATGTGAATCCTACTCAATAACATCCTGTATATGAATAAAATTGGTGATATGTACTATGTTGTAATATACATAAAATAGATACTAGCAGACAATGATGTTCATGGTGTATAAACGCAACATTAATGTGAGAAGTCCCTCTCTAGTTTGACAACTCATCAGATGACGTAAACATGATTGTTGATTGTGTACTCCACAGATACCTTCTCCTGTCTGGACCTTTCTTCTTCATCCTGTTATTTTTCATTCATCGGAATTATGATTGGTTAATGACGTCACAGGTTACCACAACATATCCACGTGACCACGAAAGTCCTTTCCGTGAAGAACTTCCGGTTCGGATTAGACAAGTGAAGGCCATAGCCATTGGTGACGAACCCAGTGAATACACTACATGCACAGAACAAACGCATGTTATCTTTATCAAAGTTCACAAGGCCGGAAGTTCAACAGTTTCTAACATTCTCCAAAGATTCGGTACATTTCGGAAACTAAATTTTGTTCTACCAAAGAAAACATTGCACGTGGAAAGATACAATTACATAGGTGAACCTGGAGGTTCTGTTGCCAATGACAACATCATACTCGTCCCCCAGGGTCAACACTACAACATCCTGTGTAATCACGTGACCTACAATAGAACAGCTTTCACTCGCTTGTTCCCAGCCAAACGGTTTTTCTACTTGTCTATTATCCGTACACCTCTAGATCACTTTCTGTCGGTAATTCGGTATTACGGATATTCAAATTTTAGCTACATACAAACTATTTTATCTATCAAGTCTGGTAACCCTCTATCGGAATATCTCAAATCTCCCGAGGATTATGAACCCTACACGCCGTATATTTCTTACACCAATAACAGACAAAGCGTAGATTTGGGCCTGCCGATAGATGTCCTTGGTAACGTCTCGGCAATACATGCATACGTTGACACCATTCGGCGAGACTTTGATTTTATCATGCTTCTAGAATACTTTGACGAATCACTAATTTATCTCAAAAGAAAGTTGTGTTGGTCCTATAAAGATATTCTCTACTATCCTAAAAATAGCCGATGGAATAATAATAAATATGCATTATCCGTCCTGGATTTAGCTAGGTTAAGAACGTGGAACAGTGCTGATTACATTCTGTATGAGGAATTACACAGTGAATTCTGGAGAAAAATACAAAACGCAGGAGCAGACTTTTATGACGAAGTTCTACATTTCAAGCGTATAACTGAAGCAGTTCGACTGTATTGCGCCAATGCGGATGTCACAAGTGACCTTGAGATCAAGGGGTCAAGATGGGAGGCAGACTTTACAGTTACTACCGTAGACTGTCAAATGCTGGGGCTTGGCGAGCTCCAGTTTCTCGATAAAATATATTTCGAAAACTACGGTATTGTTAAAAACAGAAGTGGATAGAGTCACGTGATATTCAACAAGAGTATTCTCAATCTGACGTAAATCATTTTAATTTTTAAATTTCAGTTATTTTTGGATGGTCGCGTGCTGTTGGGAATGTTTATTCATTTTCTGATCATTTCTCACACAAATTCATTGTGGACAAATGAGAAAAGGCAAGTTCACACCATCGGTCAATGAAGACAAACCGCAGAAATGCCTGACCGTCCTTAAATGATCCATTTGTGCCGGGGGACATTGAAACGGTCTGTTTTCGTCCTTGACCGTTTACAACTTATTAATTCGGAAAATGTGGTAATGTTTCTACTTTTTTATGTATTATTGGTATTGTTATTATTGTATGCATTTAGATCGGTATACCTTCAGTTTATAAAACTATAATATTTGTATAAAAAGGACAATACGAAACTCTGTAATCTATAAGAATAACAATGTATCAATAGTACAAATTCCGTATTTGTTCCTCGTCAGTCTCATGTCTTGCGTATAGTTTAAGAGATATCTACGGAGAGCAATATAAACATAGCCGTAAGGATAGTCAATGTCCATTTATTACCCTTGTTGTAGGGAACCACGACACTGTTTCTCCGAGATTAATCATGTTTAACGAGGGCGAAAAAAAGAAACAAAATAGCATGTTTCCCTTCCACAGGGGCAATCAATATTGTATTAGGCCGAAATAAAACAATATCAAATTAGTGAAGACGATCATGTTGACGCGCCATTAATGTTATTTGTTTCAGTTTTTTTCGGATATTGGTTGTGGAGGCATTTGTCGATTTTTCTAGAGAGGCTCCAAATAAAAGAAATGTTATCGGGAAAACTCGAGCGCGTGAGGGGGATATGGAGTTTCATTACCCCGTCGTGTGACCAATATCCTGTTACTATACAACAGTACCGATTTGAAGGATGTTTTGAAAACATAAAATTATGGCAAAGCGTTCACTCGTGTGTTCCTTATTATTTTAGTAATCCTCTGTAATGTTGAACTTTCTTTTAAGTGCACGAGAGCGTGAATGCAAGGAGTGTGCGTGTGCTTCAATGTATGCGAGTGAGTGTGGAGATGTGCGTTACGTTCTTTCTGTAAATAGTTCCACTTACCGTTGTATATAATGTATGTAATATAGGCATGGGATGGGCCATTCAGTTATAGTCAGTGCAGTGGAAACGCATTTTCGAGAAAGGATGGAATGAAAAGGAGAAAGCCACTAAGCACGGGACGTAGATAAATGTAGTAATTCAAACTATGGAAGCCATCTTATGATGTGTATATACAATTATTTATCTTATAAGGAAAGGGCGTTAATAATGTAACTTGTGCCCAATCCTATTGGAATTTTTTGGCAATAAAATATATTTAAACTAAAACATTAAAATACAATTATGTCATTTGTTTGTTTTGTTCAATAAGACTGTAGTTACTGTTACTAGCATTCTCGCGAGAATTCATTAAGACGACTTCCAGAGCTTGCCTGGAGTAACATTTTGAGTTTGGAAAAATGATTGGCTGCCAAGTACTTTGATGAAATGTGTTGAAACACACATGCCTATGTCTGGTTGACACAGTGCGTGTGTAACCGTGAGCTGTTTATCCAGACAGAGATCAGTATACAACAAGGCCAAACACGCAGATAATGCAAATACATGTAGTGTCGAGATGAAGTAAAACATATGATTGAACTGCGGACGAAGACTTAATGTTTGCGGCGAGAAATTAAGAGATACAGATATCTAACATCAATGACATCCGGTTTTGTCAAAACAAATCTCGTGAAATCAGTGCAGGATGATAAACTGAACCAACACTGCCTTTTTGTCTGCAGTCTACATCTAGAAGAATGAAAACCTTGGCTTAAGGTGACATCCAGAACTCATATATCAAATAATGTGATATAATCTGGTCTTGATTGCGTGTGATAACTATACAGTGATATTTTATCATCTCCGTGGTAGCCGAGTGGTTAAGGCGTCTGATCGTCTGAATCACTATAGCACTCCTCCACTGGGTCGTGGGTTCGAGGCCTACGTGGAGCAGACTCAAGGCACTGGCCGCAGGTCAGTGGTTTTTCTCCGGCCTTTCCCTAGCACCAAACCTGGCAATGACCATATAGTTGTTAATTAAGGATTGACATTCATTTTGACGGCGTATACGGTAGTATGAACGCAGTTGGCAACGAACATACTAACGCGCACCATAAAGAATATGTTCGTTGGTATACGCCGTCAAAATGAAGGTCAATCCTTATATTTACATCAAAAATGTTTAAATGCTAGAGTATGCAGAAAGAAACATTCGATCGAAGCAGGTTGCTCCGATGGTAACTATGGTAGCTGTTGAATCTACATCGATATTTGAATAAAGTTAGAAAATCCACAGTGAACAACACTATTTTTCTTTATTTCATATCTTTTCAAATTAAATAAAATAATATGGGAAGCCCTTCGAACATTTTTATTCATTTACAACGGTCGTCATGTACGCGCATTGACATACTGCTCACGAAGTGACGCGGTCGAATGTTTCAGAACGAAGCCGCCGTTGTTTACGTTACCGTCAATGAAATTTGAAAGTACATCCACGGAACAAGGGGTTTGTCAGCATCCGTTTGTTATATAATTCGACATAAGGGATTCTCAATATGTTCCATGTATCGAGATGGTGAAGGAACCAAGCAATGGTGGTCGTCGGACTGTTATCTCGCTGAAGCGTAAACAGCGCCACATTTGAAACAAGTATTAATCCGCCGAGCCTTTTTTTAACTGTGTACACGCTAATGTATACGCAGTCAGAGTGTAATTAGCTGAAGGAGGGAGTCAGTTAAATATTTGGACGTAAAACACTAACAAACAATTGTCAGCTACTTCTGATAATAGTATAAGTTTACACGTCTTTTACAATGATGATTTGACGATTTATTGATGTAGGACTTAAACTGATCACTAAGTTAACCCAATGCAGGTCAAACAGCTTAAGGTAAACCACCAGAAACTTGCTGTGTGTACTCTCGGCTGTTCATGACGGCCCTGTGACAGACAGTCTTCCATTTGGAATATCGAGGAAACCAAACAGGTGCCAGAGTTACTAAGTTTTTATTCCAAACATTCTTATATTGCATTAAAACAGTTCAATAATAGAAAATACACATTTCCTATCATTCTAGCTATATACAATTTTTATTATGTTATTTGCACGTATTATGTAATCAGAAATCTATCTAAAATCTGGTTTGAGTTCACGCTACTAAATTATTTACTAGTCTACTACCTAGCTTTTAAACTACGATTGTCAATATTTGAAGTTAAACACCAGTTTACTGTAACAACTGTTTCAATTCAAAGACACTAACTTAACAAAAGGCTACGAATTATCTTATTGAGTAGGTGAAATTATACAGCTGGCAGACTCCAGGTATTTACAATCGGAAGTTCACAAGCGAAACTGGAGACCTGGGGCCTGTTCGTTTATGCGCAACAACCGGTTCGTCCATTTTCAAATGTAACAATTTCCAGTATAAATCCAGGCGGACCTGCAAATAGTTATTCAGGCATTGCAAGTATTTTATTTAGTGCTGAAATAATATGTTTATGATTCTCATTGCGTCAGTGATCGTTTTTCCATGCCCATACACCTTAAAAGTCACTGTAATCAGGATAAATTTAACATCGGTGACATACAGGAAAGATATGTATTTCGCCATTGAAAAAAAAACTGCTCAATAAAACTACAAAAAATGTAACAAAAATAGCGCCAGTCAAAAAGCAGAAACTAAAAGCAAACAACAAAACGCACAGAACGTATGTGTCGCGGAGGTAGGTGACCGTTTAATAGCATTTAGTGTAAAGAGACGCTTGACACTTTACCACTCGCCGGCCGATCAGCTAGCTGATCCTTGCTAGCTGATCCTTGCATTGAAACGAGAGCATGCAGCGCATATGTAAATATTGATACTTGTCCTGGTTGTTTGACGAAAATACATGACGTGATATCAAACATGGCAGTAACAGAAACGGTCAGTACAGGATAATGTTCCAATGCTGACATTTCATTAGACCAGTATTGATTGTCAATTTCGGATGTGAATTTCATGTAAATTGCCATTTGTTGCAGTAGCACTGCGTTCCAACGTCATACCGTTTGCCGAGTCAGATCTGCACTGGTTGACGTGTCGTCTATATTTTTTGCTGATTTTCAACAGCGTGAACTCTTTACACCTCGTTTATGTTTGACTTAATCATTGAACTTAAGTGCCATAATACCAGACATCAATATAATGTTAACGAAGTTAACGTCATCGTCAGGTTAACAAAAAGATTAATTAAAATCTTCCTGTCTTACCGACTGTCGGTCGGTGAGCCTGTTAGTAAAGAAAAAGGTTCGTTTAAGGGTTTAGTACCTCAATGCTTCTGTTTCTGCTCTAACGCCAGTGTCATTGGCCATATCCATCCTTCACAGAATATTTCTCTCCCTTTGCTGGAACTCTCCATGGTTGGCAGCTGTGTCGGCAGAGTTGGCTGTCAGCTGCTCTCCCCGCACCGCATCATAGCCAGCGGAATGCGTTCTCGGAATCTTTCCTTATGTCCTCTCGGCTAGCTTCTCGGTCCTTTCAGAAATCCCAAAGATTCCGAAGAACCTTCAGCAGAAATGTGCCGGTAACCCCTAACAGCCCACTTCCACTAGAAAGTTGCATGTGTGCAACCCTTTTCTACCTCATCCTACTGTCAGACTATCGTATTTTTCATACTTTCTCTCGCGTGCTGTCTCACACTTTGCCAGTTTCTTCTTGCGGGGTTACCACAAAACTATATCAGTACGTGGTGACGTCACGGGAAAAAATCTTCTTTGCTTTTCATGGATATGTACCGGAAATTCTGTTTCTGAGGGGCGGTCAGACTTCTGCTGTATGTGTTCAGCTGTTGTTTCTATGAGTACCGCCCTCTGTCAGTCTGTCAGTGCTGCTTGACCAGAAGAGACAGCATGCTCTAGGCTTTATGACTCGCACTGACTACATTTTGGGTTTCCCACACATCCTGATAGTGCAGAATTTGTGTTGGTAAAAACGCATGCAGATCTCTAAGAATAAATTGCAGATGGCTTCGTGTGACCTCTAGATCCTCTACCATGTCATCTTTCTTTGCTAAGTTCTCAATCAAGCCCACGCCCTATTGGTTTTCATCTGCATTGATTTCATCTTCTTAGACTTTTTGAATCTGTTGGATATAGGTTGGCATTAATGCCACTCCTTGCTGCATGAGAATTTTGTTCCATCCGTGTGTTTGCTCCGATCATGGCCCGGCCTTCCAACTCGCACTTACCCTGTCCCATCTGTATATCTCTCTACATCTGTAATTGCCTTACTCGCCGGCCATATTTACCCGTTCTAAACGTTGTCATGTTTCTAAAAGATACAAGAACACACAAGTCAGGCAAAAAAAATCCACAAAATTATGCAACTCGGACTTGACATTTCTATTCAAAGTTTTGAATACCATTAACCCAAAAAATCTGCAACCTCAGTATTTAGCGAGGAGCCAATTTTTTTTTTCTTATCTTAGGATGATAAAAGGCCGATATATTTGCCGTTTAAGAAACCGAACAAATCTCCAAACTACAGTGGAATGTGTATGTTTGTATCCCAGTGACGATCTCAACATTCTAATGCCTAGTTAATTTATCTTATGATGCTACTCGTAATAAAAATGCAATTTTATATTGATGGCATTAGCAGGTTTTGCCAGGCTGCATGTTATTGTCCCCATCTCTTCTCCCTCTCAGCCTATAAACTCGATGTACTTTTTATTAAAGCATGTACAGTTATTTTATTTCAGATGTATATCTACGTGACGTCAACATAGAAGAACTGATCTGACTGGACAAAGATGGAAGAATTTCGAATGGGACAGATATGGATTGCTACACAAAGATATGAGCCGTTAAAGACACATTAAAATATGGTAATATATACAGTATGCCAAAAATTAATTACGGTGCCTAAAACAGCTGTTTCACCTTCTAGGTCTGACCGCTGATGCTACAGGCTACAATGTTAGAAATCCAAGGTTGACAAAACTCCTGTTGAAACAGAAGGACAGACGCGTGAAACCTCTCACTTTATGAATTTCAAAATTAAGCGGAGTACTAAGTAATTTCATAGTAATTAGTAAATGTGTGTATATATAATAAACCATAATCAATATATTTAACTGTGGCCATAAATGTTGTAAAAGGCAAACCTCGGGGACTAAGTAATCCTCCAGCAGAGATTACCACCTTGTACATCAATATTGAAATATTTTTTCTCAATATTTCA